GGGAGGCGTGAGGAGCGGGTCCCTGCCCGCCGTAGATCCGCAGCCCGCCGGCTCTGCAGCAGTGGAGAGCTTCGGGAAGCTGCAGGGCTCGAAGCTGTGCTGCCCTACCGAGCATGCCCCCATAGTGAAACTGGGATGAGGCAGTGTTCGTAGCTGACTGAGAAGTTAAGCTAATAGGCGCTTCACCATTGCCTTTAAACTTAATTAACCAGGCAAGTTGCCGTAAGTTCTCATTCTGGAAAGCTGGAGGACGCTTATTTTAAATCTTGTCATTTGTTTCAGAGAGCACTACAGGGAGAGGGCGTGCAGGTGGTCAGCCTGTGGTGATCCTTCTGGGTTGGGCTGGCTGCCAGGACAAATACCTGGCCAAATACAGCGCAATCTACAGTCAGAAGGTGAGTAGATTATTTATATTTTCATGACACTGTCACACAGCTCTGAGAAACTGCCTCTTTTCTGCCAGTTGGTAAAGTTGCTCTAAAGCTTCGCTCAGTCTGAAGAGTCATTGGGAGTGAGTGGCAACTTCTTTTGTCATTGAAAGCTCCTTGTCTCTCGGAGCCCAGGCAGCGTTATCTAGCAGTGGCTGATGTCATCCCTGTGCGTGCAGCTGAGACAAAACTACTTCCTTGGAGGAACTTTCCGCTGTTGTGTGAGTCACTGGAGTATTTTAAGGCTTTTAAAGTTGTGAGATTATTCATGAATGCCGTGAACTGTGTTAGCTTTCCAAACAGGTGAACACGCAGGGAAGGATTATGCATTTACTGCTTACTAATAGGCCATGGCAGAGACTTGGCGAGGCCAGGCTGAGGGCTGACAGGGCATGTCAGCATCTGTTGTTCCTTCGGCTTCTCCTTGCTGTGAAGATGATCCATCTAAATGTTGTAATCCAAATTCATTTTATCCTGTCCGTGAAACAGGCATCCTGTGAGAGTCATACCTGCTCACTGGGTTTGAACTGGAGAGGTCTGTCCAATTGCTAGTTCCCTAAGTTATGGTATTTTTCTTTCTAATACTGTGTTTTACTGGAATGACCTCAGCTTATAGTATGGGGACCCAGTGAAACATTAGATTTTTCTTTTTTTTTTGGTCAGCATACAAAGATCTTGTGTTTATCCAAATCTGTTTCAGCTATAGGTGGCAAAGTTTGTGCATTAACAACTCTATTGTTAATGTGTAATCCAGTGCAAGAGTCATGAATTGGCTTGTTCTAGAGAAGAATTAATTGTCGAGTGACTGTTGTGACCACGAGATGCCGCTGAGCACACGAGAAGCACATTACATGGCAGCATGCCAATTTTTTAAAAAACACTTTTCTATCAGAAAGATGATAGGAATGGGAAAGGAGAGGAAATGTTTTCTTGGCTCCCTAATGAGGAAGTGGTTGCAACCATGGCAAGACGGTATAGAAGACTTTGATTTAAGAATGTGATACCCTCTTCTTCCTCGTTCGCTGTTTAGGGAGCTCTGGGCAAGAGGGCTGTCTTGGTGGCTTTCACTTGTGTAGTGTAGTGTGTGATGTCGGTTAGTTTAGGTGATAGAAAAGATCTAAAGCATTTATTAATGTAGTTCCAGCTGCTCTATTCAGAAACTCCTCCAAGATCCTGTTCCCCAATCTACACCTAAATGTAAGGCCTTAACTGTAAAGGCAGTTGCTCAGGCGTTCTGAATCTCAGTGCTTTTCATTTGCACAACGGGAACGTTTCAGAAAGGCTTACGAAATTCACGTCAGTGTTGATTGTGGGTGAGTCTCAGAGACGGCTGCAAACAAGTACTGCCCAGGGACAGGACGAAGTTCCTCTTCCTCCTTACGTTTGTTTCAATGTCATGAACTAGAGGTGAACCACAGCAGGCCCTTCTTACTGAAATGGCTGATCCTGAAGGTTTGTGAATCAGGGAGATAGTTTTCTTTTCCTGGGTGAAGACTAACACTTGTACAAGTTTGCGTGGCGATATCCCCGGGGGCTGTGCCAGTTAACATAAGACTTGAAAGAATCTCAAACGTCATCAGATCCAGGTCTCTGCTACTGCAGAAACCTTTTCATAATACTGTATGCTGTTACAATTAACATAATCCTTTTCATATTGGTGCCTTGCTAACTGACACTAGAGACTTTTCTTCTGGCCTTGTGGTTTCTGTTGGAAACCCGTCCCAAGTTCTTGTGTTCTTTGTACTGATGCTTGCCTGCTCCATGTAGTTTACAGCGCAGCCTAAATGTGTGTGGGGTCTCTTTTCTGTTCTTCTTAGGGGTGCACCGTCATCCGCTACACGGCTCCATGGAGGATGGTATTCTTCTCTGAGACCTTTGGCATGAGATCCCTCCGGACCCTAGCCAGGCAACTGCTGGAGCTGCTCTTTGACTACAGTGTTGAAAACAGACCGGTTCTTTTTCACGTTTTTAGCAATGGTGGTGTCATGCTGTACCGTTACATCATTGAGGCGCTTCACACTCACAAGCCATTTATGAACATCAAAGTAGCAGGCACCATTTTTGATAGCGCCCCTGGCAGAAGAAACTTGAGAGGAAGCCTTCGTGCCTTGGCAGCTGTCTTGGTGTCCAGAAATGTGCTGCTCAAGTATTTCCTCTTACTCGCTTTTGCTACTTCAGCTGTCGTGCTGCGGATCTTGCTGTACCCGTTGACCCGCTTCATCCACGAGAGCCATTACGATGCCCTGCTGAAAGCGCCCTCGCGGTGGCCTGAGCTTTACCTGTATTCCCAAGCCGATGCCATCATTGAGGCCGGCGAAGTTAAGCACATGGCTGATGCCCGGCAGCAGCTCGGTGTCTCCGTGAAAGCTGTAGACTTCTCGGATTCGGCTCACGTCAGCCATATGCGGGTGTATCCCACCTATTACAGCAACCTCTGTATGACTTTCCTATCTGACTGTGTCGGGGCCTCACCTCATTAATGGTGTAATGGCCTCCCATGTTTGCCTCTGCTTTGCTCAGCTTGTATGGGAAATGTCACCCCCTTTGCCTTTGTGTCTTTGAAGGGAGGAAAGCAGAGACTTCTCAGATTTTTTTTCTCCCCAGCCCCCACCGTCTACAAGTCTGAAAGCCTGCAGGCTGGCTTTTGGGCCAGCCATGTTATAGCAGAAAGTATATATAGATTAATTTAAGTACTAAAGATGAAATCCTAGCATGGTTGAAGTTGATGTGCTTTACCAAGGTGTCACAGACCAGAATTTCACGTGAACTGTTATTTGTTTCTTCCTGTCTTGTGTTGTTCTCTGCTTTCCATGTTGTCTCCTTGTCCCTGATGTCCAAAGTGCACGTTCTGTTGCTTCGTACTGATTTTACAATAGAGCTTTTCAATGTCTTTGTTGGTTCTTTTCCCCTCTCTGCCATTTCTTTTATCTTGCAGTGAGCAAACAGAAGCAGCTCTGCAGGACTTCTCTCTTGTCTCTGTGCATCCCAGCTCTCGCTATACTCCCAGCTGGAGATCAGGCCCAGAAGCCAAGTGTAAGACTTGGAAAAGGCTTGTGCAGGGCAGTATGACCAGATGGTTGTCTGGTTCCATTAAATAGCTGAGATGGATGGAGCAGTCAAAGCTCTGGTCCTTGGTTGGACCTCAAATGTTTGTGGTAACTTTTGTGTTCTTCAACCAAAAGTTTAAGTTAACCTTTTTGAATGTGTCTTGTGTTTTGTTTCTCTTCCTTCTGGTCTTTTCTGTGTTCTCCTGAGAAGTTTTGTTTTCTTGGAGAACTGCTCATTTATTATTGTGTGTCTTTGAGTGGCCTATATTGTGCGCCTGGAAATGCAGGGAAACTGGCACAGCTGTAACCCAAAAGACCTCAGAAATAGAAAGGTGGAACTGCAGAGAAAAATGAAACTGCCGCTATGATTTATACTGGGTGTTTCTTAAATCACTTCCAACCCACAAATGACCGTGAAATTCAATGTTTTCCCCCATAATGTTCTCTTCAGATGATCAGTCTTCGCTGTCCATGCAGCGTGTACTGGTAATACAAGAAATTAATTCCTTCCACCTAGTGACAAAGTAGCTCATTGCACCGCACTTCATTCATGTTTGGTTCTGGGGTTTGTTGTTTATTTTGGGGAGAAGCAGGGATAAAGACAGAGGAGAGCCTGCTAATAATGTGTTTTTGCCATGTCACAGCATTGCAAGGTAATTAATGATGTGGTGGACGGGATTAGCTGACTTTAAATTCCTAGTCCAAGGTTGCAGGAACAGGCTCTGGAGGGCTGTGGGCCTGTTTGAACAAGGGGATGCCTTTGAGAGGAAGGGACATAAAAAGCACAAGGATTTTTACAGCTGTTTGCTGCCCATGGGCTGCTGTGCTTGTCTCACCCACCCTTAGGGTGCTGTCATCCACAATTACAAAGCACTTGCTGTTCTGAATCAAGACGTGGAGAGGGAGGTCTTGTGGAAGCACTAAATTAATTTGGAAGTTTCAAAACAAGAACCATAACTCCTCACAGAAGTGGAAGCCCAGGGTGAGCTGTGGTCAGTGGCCAGCTTTTTTTAGCCAGCTAGGGTGGCAACTCTTATTTAAAGCGGAGAGTAACCGCATGTCGGGTGTGGTTTTAAAGGGTGGACTGGGGTGTGTAGGATAGGTGAGAATTAACTGAAAAGGGGTTGATGGCCTGGTTTGTCCTCAGTTGTTTGTTTTTTTTTTTTTTTTAAGTGAAAACTGGCTCCAGGCACAGGAGTCCTTGTTCCAGGTCCAGTCTTCTGTAGGTGTGATCCCAGTTTCAGCTTCCACTACGAAGATGAGCTGTGAGGGCTGTCCTGCAGTAAGAGAGCCTTCAGCCTGCTGCTTTTCGTGGCAAAATTCTTGTTCCTGGGGTTTGGACCTTTAACTCTCGGATATGGTGCCCTATCCCCGGAAGGCCCGTCAGAGATCTCCCAGCTTTTTAAAGCAGGCCCCGGGTTTGTGCTGTCAGTGCCGTAACTCCTGAGCTGTGATCCATTTGCCTGTCTTCCTGGAGGACTGGGCTGTGTCTCCCGAGCATCCAGCCTGTTTGTGGCATTGCGGAAAATCTCAGGGAGCAGAGGTGATGAAGGTTATTTAACTAGCACTTGCCCTCATGCTGGTTTCTATGGGTTCAGTATTTACGGAACAGTTAAACACCCCGTAATATACGCCTCTGCATCAGTACAGTTGTGCTGGGCTGGGAATCTGGTGTTCCTGTTTATTGCCGTGGGCGTTGAACTTCTATTTAAGGTACTTGGGCTGTTGTGGAGTGTGGCTGGTGGGAGCTGGAGCTAAACCCTCTGTCCCTGCGTGATGGGACAGCGAAGCCGCCGCCAGGAAGAGCCCCCTGCGGGTCAGCTACACCTTCCACCACGGGACCCCTTCTGCCCCGGCTCTGTCCAGCTCTGCTCCACCTCCCCACTTTCCAGGGCAGCAGGCAGGGAGTGGGAGCTGCCTGCTGGAGCTCCGCATCCGGAGCTGCCTTGCACTACCCAAGTGGGAACCAGCTTGCAGGCATTTCTGCTGCTGCAAAACTGACTTGAAATTCAGGGCTGATGCGTGCATGCGCCTCCCTAAGAGCAGGGGGCATCTCGAGCAAGCCAGTGATTTACAGAGGAAGTCATCGGCACCAATCTTCTGAGTGGGATTTGTTTTCCCGTGTCCCAGCAAGTTTTAATGATGATTATGAGCAGGGTGTTAAATGTCTTGTGTGATATATTGCCCTCTTTTTTCCTATACAGCATGGATGCTCTCCCCTCTCCCGCTTTCTGCCCTCTTTATTTCTGTTGCTTGTTATTTGAAACAGAAGGTTAATAACTCGGAGCCTGAAGGCACACGGCCAAGAACGGATCCAAGTGCTACTGGATTAGAAAAAAAACCCAAACAACCCAGCCTCAAACCCTTAATCCTTGCTAAACTGTCACAGTTTGGGGCAGCCTGTGTTTCTGAAGAGCTGGAAGCCAAAGGTTGGGATATCTTGGCAAATCCAAGTAAATCTCTGTGACAGGCTGTGGGAGGGGTGTTGCAGCTCTGCGCTTGGGGAGGGAATGTTCAGCATCCCCGGGCTTGCCTCGTGGGTGGGAAGCGGGATGCGGCACCGGGGATCCCTGTGTGGGGAGCCCACAGCGCCTTCCCCTCCAGCCCAGCCCTTGTGTGCAGATGGTGGAGCAGCGTGGGCAAGCACCGGTGGTGGTGGGAGAGGAGGGTGCCCAGGGGCCAGCTGCTGCTGTTGCACGTTCCCCAGCTCGGTTCGGTTTGCAAGAGCACAAATTGACCTTTCCTCAGCAGCAGAAGCCGTTTGTGAGTGCTTCCCATGAGGGAGCTGGCTGCCAGCTTGCTCCTCTCTGCTGCCTTCTCTCCCGGGGCAGCGGCGACTTTACGGGAAGGGTTTCAAAAAGAAAGGAAAGTTGCTTGGTTAGTGGTCAGGGTGGTCGTGTGCTCGGGCTGGAGGGTGCTCAGCTGCAGCCAGGGTGCCTCCGCGGTGCTGGGAGAGACATGGGCAGACAAGGGGTTGCGTTTTGGAGCTGGGGCGGGGGTGCATCCTGCAGCGCCAGTAATTCAAACCAAGCCCCTGGGCGAAGGCGGATCTGTGCCCACCTAAGAAAGGTGTTTCAAGTCTGGAGTTGCCTTTCGCCTTTCGCGTGCCGGGGCAGCAAGTTGTGTAGGGGCTGAGGCCCCAGCTTTGCAGGTGTTGGGGGGGCGCGGGCATAGGTGCGAAGCTGAGCCACCGAGCATGGCAGGGACGGCTGGAGATGGAAAGTAGCAGTTCAACCCCACGCACTGCTTACCGGGCCCGGGAGGGAGCCGCACTCCACGAGGTGGCAGCAGGTCCCCTCTTTCCTGCGTGGAGAGGGTTCGAGCACAGGAGCCGAGCAGAGCGGGTTCTGGAGCAGACCCCAGCAGTGCGGCTCAGCCCCGGGGGCTTCTGCATGCCTGGGACCATCGCCCGCAAAAAGTCCCCTCCCAGGGCAAGGGAAAGACCAGCGAGCGCAAACCCCAGTGCCAAGCAGCAGAGCTGGTGGGTCGATACGGAGCAGCGTTTGGCCCTAGAGCTGCCCGCCCTGGGAACTCGTACTAGATCCTATTTCTCAGCTTTAACAGAACGGTAAAACCAAAAGCCTAAGGGCAGGAATAGCTTTACTGCCCATCCTGCGTCGGCAGGCCGGGTCATACTGCTTCCCCCTGCATTGCCCAGAGAGGGATGTCTAATTTTTTCAGTGAATCTGTGCAATATTGTGGTTAGACAGACCATGGTCCAACTTCTTGGGGCTTGGTGCCAGGCCCTCCTGAAAACCCCAGTGAATTGGGACTGCGGAGCCCCCTTGGGGTCCCGGTAGCCCCCCTGACCTGCCTTCCTACTCTCTGGAAGGGCTGGCAGGACCCCCTGGCACATGGGACTGGGGGCTTGGGGGGCAGTTAGGAAATGGGATAGCACAACTTGGGGCCACAGCCACTCTCTGAACCCCGTGACACCCCCCTCAGCACACCCTACGCACAGGTCCTGCCCAGCCTGGGGCATAGGTAAGGGAGGCAGGGGCTCACAGGGCTGCTGCTCGCCCTGCCTGCCCCGCCTCCTCCATCCCCTTCCCTTTGAACTTGAGCCCCTGTCCCCTTGTCTCCGCATCCTTGCATGGCTGCGTACCCACCTCTGCGCCGTCAGCCGGAAACCATCCACCGGCTGCTGGGGTTGGCAGGCAGAGGGGTGCATGGCATCCTTCCGTCACCCTCCCAAACCCATGGGGGCTGGGGCAGGGAGAGCTTGGGCAGCCCTTGCCCTCCCCCGGTGATGAATGAGCTGACAATAGGGTATTGATAAGGAATTAACCTTGAGCCCTTCTTGCTTCAGTGTCAATAGAGCAGGAGCCAAGTACACACGTTTGATTGGAAATCTGTGTTTGTCCTCTGTGCCCATCGACGTGCCGGAGAGACGAGTGGGGGGGATGCGAATGGCCCTGCTGCCCCCTGCCTGGCCTGGACCCCCCGGTGGGTCCCTCTCTGTTCCCCCAGCCCACGGCTGCTGGGGTTGACCGTGGGCACCTGGCTTCATGGGGCTGCAGCAGCCTCTGTGCCCCCCACCTGGCATGCGGCAAGGCTGGGTACCAGGGCCCCCCAAAAGGCCTGTGCCCATCCTGCTCTGGCCTCCACTCCGAGCAGTTTGTTTAATTAAGTGTTTTGCCTAATGGGATTGCCTCATTTCCATAACAAACTGGCGGGCTGTCATTAGGTGGGCTCCCTCATTCATTACTGTTAATTAGATATGGATCCCCCAGAAGGCGGTGCAGGGTGATGAACGAGGCCCCTGACACACGCTATTACACATTAGCATTTTCTCAATACATCCGATACATCACGGCCCTCCGCTTCCTAAAGATATTTTAAATAAAATATTAGCAGCCCGCTGCAGGGTGGGTGGAGGGGGAGGGAGGGCTCCTGCCCCTCACCTTGGCCTCAGGCCTCCTTTGGGATGAAAGCAGACTGGAGAGCGGATGAAATGCTTTGCTGCTCCCTGCCAGCCAAAAAAGTGGCCAAATCCACCCCTTTCCCCATCCTTGCCACTGCAGGTGGAAGGCGGTCCCTGATATCCCTGGTGCCCGCCCCAAATCAGCCCAGGGACTACCCCCCCTCTTCCCCCCAAGCAACCCATCCCCAGGGTATGCAGCCATGGGGAGGTTAAACATCCCCATCGACCCCGTCTGCAAAATGTTTGTAAACCAAAAGCGTCGGCGCCAGCCCCGCACTGGGGGGGAACCCGACCTCCACCCCCCTCACCCTGGCAGCCTCCTGGTCCTTGCTGTCGGGGGGGTAACCCTATACCATGCCGGTGGCCCCTAATGCAGGATATATAGATCTGTTGGGGCTGGGCGCCTCCTGCCCCCTACTAATGCAGCCAAAGAGACTTCATTTGGGGAGGAGGGGGTATGTCCCCTGAGGTGTGCCCTTTGCCCTGCCCTTCTGGCTCTATGGGGAGGGGAGGACAACACAGAAATTGGGGGACCCCATCCGTGGTGGGGCAGAGATACAATTATGCAGGGAGATGCTGGGGCAGGACCCCTGCCAGCTGGGGGGGGTCCTGCCCCAGCATCCCCCTGCATCTGTCCTTGAATCTGTCCCTGCACCCCAAATAGGACCAGGGCTCCCCTTTGGGACATTACCCACATCCAGGGGCTGCAGCATGGAAAGTGGGGGGGTGGGGGGATGCGTGTGTGTGTGTGTGTGTGTGTGTGTCTCCTCTGCTGCCTCTCGCCTGCAAAGGGAAACACAGAAAGGCGGGAAGCGCCCGAGAAGATTTATACTTGTTTAATTAATGTCAAATGTAGTTTACAAACGGGAGTGACAAGTACCTCTTTGTATAATATACACCGACACACAATCATCGACACACCGGAATATCGCTTTGTGCAACTGGGATTCTTTGGGCAAAGATAGGTAACGCCGATATTTCAATTTTTTTTTTCTTTATTTTTTTGTTTTTTTTTAAATCCTTTAAACTCATTACAGAAGAGGGGAAGCGGCAGACGTGTGTTACAAACCGGGATGCCTCTCTCCCCAGCCTTCCCCCTGCAGCCCCGCCCCCCCGCCCTTGAAAACAGGGGATGGCTTTACAATTAAAAAAAAATAAACAAATAATAAAAAAAAATAACCCAAAACAAAGAACCAGTGACTTAGTTACATATGGTTTTACACATACGTACATAGAGCACACGGCCGGTCCACACCACCTGCCAGAAAGCCTGGCTCTCTCCCGGGGTCTATTTTTGAGGAAGGGCTGGGGCGGTGGGTCCTGCCCTCTCCCCCTTCCCCGCTGCCTCTCAAACCCACCCACTGCACCCTCTCCAAATCCATCTCTCAGATCCCAATGCCGGCACCCAGGCATCGCAGCCCCGGCTGGGTGGCACTTTGCAGCCCAGCTGTGC